GTCTTCACTTACTAGCCTGAGCATTTTCATGGCTGTAGGAATCTCGAGTTTCAATCCTCGCAGCTAAGATGGAGTTAATGCACGCCCTTTCTGTGAGCTACTGTTTTAACTACGACTTTAGGTAACAGGTAGCTCTACTCTTACAATTTGGAAAACACTTGTCTGTAAGCACTTGAGGCATGCTAAGACCATATCTAACAGATTGAGTTCCTCAGGGTACTTTCATGGAGGAATACTTGACTTTTGAATTCTAAAATGGAGGCAGATATTTAGGCATCCAAATCCATCAATACAGAAGCTTGGGCATGCAAAGAATCATAGAATCATAGAATGGCTTGGGTTGGAAGGGACCTCAAAGATCATCTAGTTCCACCCCCCCTGACATGGGCAGGGACACCCTCCACTACACCAGGTTGCCCAAAGCCTCATCCAACCTGGCCTTGAACACCTCCAGGGATGGGGCATCTACAACTTCTCTGGGAAACCTCTTCCAGTGCTTCACCACCCTCTGAGTGAAAAATTTTTTCCTTATATCCAACCTAAACCTTCCCTCTTTCAGTTTAAAGCCATTGCCCCTTGTTCTATCACTACATGCCCTTATAAAAAGTCTCTCTCCAGCGTTCCTGTAGGCCCCCTTTGAGTACTGGAAGGCTGCAATAAGATCACGCTGGAGCCTTCTCTTCTCCAGGCTGAACAGCCCCAACTCTCTCAGCCTGTCTTCATAGCAGAGGTGCTCCAGACTCGGATCATCTTCGTGGCCCTCCTCTGGACCCGCTCCAGCAGCTCCATGTCCTTCTTGTGTTGGGGACTCTAGAGCTGAATGCAGTATTCCAGGTGGGGTCTCACGAGAGCAGAGTAGAGGGGCAGAATCACCTTCCTCGACCCGCTGGCCACACTTTTTTGGATGCAGCCCAGGATATGGTTGGCTTTCTGGGCTGCCAGTGCACATTGCCGGCTCATGTTGAGCTTCTCATCCACCAGCACTCCCAAGTCCTTTTCCTCAGGGCTCCTTTCAGTCCATTCTCAGTCCAGCTTGTACTTATGCATGGGATTGCCCCGACCCATGTGCAGGACCTTGCACTTGGCCTTGTTGAACTTCATGAGGTTCTCACAGGCCCAACTCTCCAGCCTGTCAAGGTCCCTCTGGATGGCATCCCTTCCCTCCAGCATGTCCACAACACCACACAGCTTGGTGTCATCTGCAAACTTGCTAAAGACGCACTCGATCCCACTGTCCATGTCTCCAACAAAGATGTTAAATAGCACTGGTCCCAGTACTGACCCGTGAGGAACACCACTCGTCACTGGTCTCCACTTGGACATTGAACCGTTGATCACAACTCTTTGAGTACGACCATCCAGTCAATTCCTTATCCATCCTTAATGGATGGTCGAGTGGTCTGTCCATTAAATCCATGTCTCTCCAGTTTAGAGACAAGGATGTCATGTGGGACATTATCAAATGCTTTGGATAAGTCCAGGTAGACGATGTCAGTTGCTCTTCCCCTATCCATCAATGCTGTAACCAGAACTTAAATCTAGAACCAGAACTAGAACTTAAATCTACCAAAGGAGCAACCTGAGAATTTCAAACACACATTGTCATGTCGTAAGATTGTGCTCTGAACAGCGGGTTAATACATATTGACCAGGGGATGATAGATGTCTGTGACATTTTCGATACATAGACAATTAAGTGTGGGTTTCTTGGATTTTTCTGTTAAATCTAGTTGTCCCTGGATTGCACTGCAGATACCTAAAGGGTACTTTGGGTTTTAGGAATTGATCTACATCTTGATGTCTCTAACATACACAGTGCATTGGTTTTCAATCTAATTTTCTTATGGCACCTAGTTTATAAAGGAAGTCTTTTAGTTTGTTTTTGATTTTTTTTTAATGGAAAAATTATGTCTCGGCTTCACAGTACTTCGTTTTCACCTTATGATGAAGCTGAGTGCCACACTCTTACACAGTAATTACAGAGTACATGAGGATTTGAAATATCAGAAGTATGTCCAGAAGTAAAGGTTAGGTATCATATTCTTCTCTGATTTATGCCTGTGTGTCCTTATTCACTGTGGTTCTGAAGGCAGCCAGTGAAAGACGTATAGCAAGGTTTATTAGAAAATTCTGTTTTTCCAGACCAAAACCAAAAGGGAATTTTAGAGGAAAGCATAGAAAAGACTTGAAACCAAAAGGGAATTTTAAAGGAAAGTATAGAAAAGACTTGGGTGTGAAACAGTGGGGAAAAGTAGAGAGCCATTTTCAGTCTTTTCCTGAAACCATAACAAGCTAATGTCAATTACAAAAAAAGATGGAGTTTAAACTAGAAACTTTGACACTACTACGAGTTTAAAGCTACTTGGCAAAGCTGCTGAGTGCTTAGAGTTGTTTGGTGAAAGCAGAACTGCAAATCAACTGCAATAAAGGTATATTTTTACAGTTAAACTTTGTATTTTTGCTGGGAGCAGCTTTATGCTTTTTGCCTAAAAGCACCACAAACCCAGTACATTTACAGGTTAGTTTTGCATGATGGAGCAGAGATACCATGTGGAAAAAAAAGTATATGCTGTAAAACTGATTTCTCACTGAAATGGTCCATGTACCACCACTATAAAAATACTTCAAGATTTTTCATTTACTGAAGTGACAATTTAAAAAACTCTTATATTCTGCCCATCAAAAAAGCCTTGGTGTAAAGTCTGTTGAGAATAAAATCCCCAGGAATTGACTAGAGGGCCTCAATTCTCACTCGATGTATATACATCGGCATAGCTGATGTATATACTCGATGTATATACATCAGCCTTCAGTCGATTCCGTGCTGATTTGTGGTAGGTAGCAATGGTTTCTCAGGTCTCAGTTCTGAAAGGATCTGAACACTTCTTTCCACATGCCAGTGAGGGTTTACAGCCTCACAGGTAGTGCTCCTGCAGGATTCAGGCCTTTTGGAAGATGCTCTCGGGAGTGTGGTCCTGTTTGCTTCTTCAGAAATCACACCTTAGGAACAGCTTGCCTTTTTTCATCTTTTAATTTCCATTTCCTCAGTCTTCATTTCATGCTATTATGCACTTTGACCAACACTATTTCAGGCTGAACAACCCCCTGAGCATCTTCTGTTTCATCTTTAAATGAAATAAGGTGTTGTTTGGCTACATTTCATAAAATGCATCATTTGATTCAACATCTTAATGCATTAACTCAAACTTGTCCCATTTCTATATCTTTGGGCCTGTCCACACTTAGAAGCTCATTCAAATTAAGGCATGAAGTAAATTTAAAATATAACAGGTATTTCCAGTCACTCCACATGCATCTGAGTAATCCAGGACAACAATGAGAAAAGGAGACATGGCATTCATTCCACTCCTGGAAAAAAGCTTGACAGCATTTGAGCATCTACCTCTTCCTTCTTTCAAGCTACATGGGAAAGAGTCCCGAACTCTGTTGTAAACTTTATGTGGAACGGGTCTAAAATGGATATGACGCTGTCTGTGCCCTGTGACAGTTCTCCTGTTCCACCCCTCCTCTCTCTCTCAGTCTAAAATGAGACTGTGGCTAATTTCAGCTAACAAATTCACTGCTGAGACACAGGCGATGTCCTTGATGCCTGCTTCCTGCTCACACTGATCTCTTACACTAGAGGCCACGCTCATTGCAGAGGAGCAGGAGGGTTGGCATCTTCTGGAATCGGTGTTTCATGGATCCGGTCAAAAAAACCTCTGATATGTGTGTGTTGGTGGCTATGGGAGATGGGATTTAATGACCTGGATCGTCTCGCTCAGTCCACTATTCCTACTTGCTATGAGTGAGCAGGCAAAAGAAGTATTTCAGCTTTTGCTTATCTCTTCCAGGTTTTTAGTAGCTATAAAATCAGAGAGTATGAGGTTTATGTGGATTCATGGTTTACTCTATACATAGTAATCTGATTTGGAAAGTATTAAAAGCAGTATTAAATTGCCTAGGCACATTTCAAAGAATTCTCAAACAAAGATTCTGATGGCAGAGCATTTGTGAATAATTAGTATAAACCTCTCATTCAGATTCCTTGAATTCATAGTTTTCTTCTGGTTTTGCTTCTTATTCAACTAAACAAGGTCAGTATTTTCCAATATCACTTTTCACCTATAGAAGAGACATATTACTAACTAGCTTTGGTTCTGCTGAACATTAACTGGTGCTCCTCTATTTTACTGGCTCTAATGCAAACTTCAGACAAATAAGGTGTAAAATACACTGAACACCACCTAGTGTTGCCCAGTTATTTAAAGATAATAAAAACGGGAGCGGGTTTGTTTCAGAACAAGTAGCGATGAAGTATGCAATGATTTCCCAAGACAGACAATTCCCAGTATCTTAAAAATGTTTCTATTATTCACTTCTCCACTTAAATGGGAAAAAGCCTGATTCTTTTGTGTTTGCATTTGAAATATACAGGTTAGATCTTTGGAGAAATTGCTACCCTAGCTTTTGTTCACTGCACATACAACTTTCTAAGGGACAGTATGCTTTCTGACAGCTGCAGTTAAGCTATTATATAACAAAACACATCTAACTGCTTGCATTGAACTAAGACTTCATCATAACTACATCCATTTTACTTAATGACAGCTTTTGCATTCAGATTTAATTATGGAATCCTAAAAGAAGTGTTTGTATTGCTTCCAAGTACAATATAAAGTGAAAAATACATTCCAGTACATCTGAAAATACTTCCTTAAAGAACCAAAATAAGTCAATTATGGCAAAAATGCGATTATGAAGGATTTAGCACAAGAAAATAAAATGAAAGCCAGTATGTTTCTGTACACTTCGGAAAATACTGAGCAATAAAAATAGTCCCATATGATAAAACGTGTCTTAAGAGACAGCATTAAAAAGTACACAGAAGACCCAGGCAGGAACTAGCTATCAGTGCTCTGAAGGCGATGGATGCTGAACCATTGATCACATCGAGCCTTTTACTTTACCTCAAAAGAGAAAATCCTTTGAGTCCTTACCTGTACACTAGTAAGAGTGGTGTATTGATAAGCTTTGACTACCAGGTAATTGGCTTCTATATCTATTATCCCCAGGATCATGTACTTCCACCATCTCCTTTTCAAAATTGCCAGCAAGTTTTCTTCTCCTGTGGTAATAAACAACAAGAATAAACAACAAGAAGAATTATGTAAAAGAGTTAGGTTTACATGCACAAAATACCTGCCTGTCAAGAGAAATTATCTAGATCTCTTGTATTTAAAATACGCCGTTGAAAAGCATCATATATAACTAGGTGCTGCGAGGAGGTGAAACCTAACACACCCTATTTGTCTCACAGATACTAAAACAGCCAGCTTGGCAAAGTAGCATGTGAGGGTCAGATTGTCACTTCACTTAAGATGTAAACAACACTGGGGAAAAACAAGCGCAGCTTAGGCAGACTGTAAATGTGTTCCTAGTTTTACTTTTATATATACACATATATATACACACATACAAAATACTAAAGAGTAGAGCAGTTTCTTGCGTAAACTGATACCTAACTGATAAATGTTGTATCACACATGATGCAAGAGGGTCTTCCCAGAGTGGGAGATGCCCAGTATTTGCAAATATGATGGAATATTAGAGCAGGAGAGTAACAGCATCACTTTTGCGCAGATTAGAGATCCTGTTCCAAGGATGGTTATTATGATCCTAAAGGTTCAAAATATCAAACTTCTTTACAGAAAGGCTGCACTGAGACAAACAGATTTTCCGTGACAGATTGCCCCGCTCCCAGGATCGATCTCTGAAGTAAGCAGGTTCATTGCCTTCTACGGGAGCGCTGTCAATCACCCAGTACTCAATCACCCATAACCACGTGAAGACTGACAGTACAATATGGGCTGCAGATCAAACCCACAACTTTCAGAAGGTCAAAGCATTCCTCATGCTAGGCTAGGGATTATTATTCTTCCCCTTTCAAAAGAAACCAGCTCATTAGTGAGGGTGGGCAAACCTGTTACTGATTTGCATTACAGTAAGCTCCAGACATGATGGGACCCCACTGCGAAAGGGGCTGGGCAAATCGACTGTGACTGAAGACAGTACAACCCTTTAAGGGTCTGTAGCCTAAACATGGATGTAAGTAGGGTTAACCTGTACTGTCAAAGTACCATAAATGGAATCTGAACAATCTTGAAAGTTTAAAAAAAACAACCCCACTATTCTGAAGTTTGTTCGTGTTGCTGCAGCCTTTCTAAGTGCCTGCGATCATCAAAATGAGTGGTGGAAAATACAGCAGAAAAGGCACATTATTGTCAATTGCCACCAAAACTTGCTCTGGCTTCCAATTCTCCATCATCACTTTCCATCATCACAAGTGTGTTTGCCCTCTGGTTCAAATAGACCCAGTGATAAATGGGCTGCCATACCATCAGAAATGGCAGGTTCTCTATAGCACTGGAGTGTCTCACATCTTTTAAGACGCAATCACAGAAAAATAGGTAATTACATGGGAAGTTGATTCAGAAATCTTAGATGTGAAATCTTGGCCCCATGGAGTGATTTGAATGGGTATTTACCTGAACAAAGCATCTGAATCATTTGATGTTTCTTGATTAACAGATGCTCACACATACATGCTTCTAGTGGGATATTAGTAGGCAACAACCTACTTATTTGTTACAGTGATAATGACACCAAGTGCAAAACTGCAAGTGCTAAAAAGCTTTCTTTCCTTCCCTCCCTTCTCTTTTTGTTCTTCTCTCTCTTTCTCTCAGTAAGCAGCAGAGAAATAGCAGGAACAAGGTGGTAAGTAGGTTATTTTTCAAGACCCTAAATAAGGAGTAAGTACATTCAACCACACTACACTTTCCTGTTACTGACTCACAGAAGAACTCACGAAAAAGAAAATCCCACCCTTCAGACATGAATTATGACTACATTTATGTATTTCTTAAGATGATTTGAGCATGCAGAAAGGAATATTTTAGATCTTATTTTTTAATACATTTAGGAAGGCATTTTTGAAAAAGCAGTTGAGATTAGATGTCCTAATTCCTACTAAAATCGGTGTAAAACATGCAGATAGATCCTTTCCAGGTACTGAAACGATATCTCTAATTTGTATGCTGTCTGGATAATACCTTTAAAACACTATCTAGAAAACATCAATGAAATGGAATGGCATGGTTAACATTTCAGAGTGACTCTTCATTTTAATTGCAAAGAGAAAGTCTAAAAATCAAAGACCTCAAACTGTAGTCTCTATTCCAACAGTGACAATCTCACCTGAATCTGTTTTTGTTGCAAAAGGACCTTGGTTATATCTACAAAGCAGACTCAAGAACTGCACTGGCATTAGGGTGCCTGAGCAAGGACTATGGACACAGCTCAAGGACTCTTTTGGTGCCTTTGGGTTGCCAGTGCTTGCTTTCTTCAGCTTCCATTTCCAACCACAGATCACTGTACTGCTCAGATATGGCCGAATAAGTCAGCTTTAAAAATGAAGGTATGGTCATGACTTCTGGCTAATGGGTAAAGTCAGAGTTTCCAGAGATGGAAACTAAATCTTTTACAATTTTAACTGATATACATGGTTCTCTCTTTTGCTTTCTCAATCCTTTCTTTGCTAATAACAGAAAAAAGAAAAATATTAGGCAAGTGGTATTTTATCTTTGATATACAGCTCTGAGATGTTCCAAACTACAAAATATCAGGTTCAACTGAGAAGGCTGGGCAGAGTCAAAAGCAATGCTGAAATGAATTTATGCAAGCACCATGCAGCTCTGACGAACATTGGTTTAGCTTCCCAGCAAGTGTCTTTGCCTCGTCCAGTGGAAAGCAGAGAGATGTACAGGTGAACATAAATAGAGAATTTGTTCCTGTAAAAGAAAATCTTCTGCAAGAGCTGCATCTTCCTCTGTGGAACACACTTAGTATTAATTTCCACTCACTTGCTGCATCTCGTGTTACCTGGTGTGTAAGAAAGGTCTGGCTTCTGACTGGGGTCCCTCTGCCCACATTATTATTACAGTTTATCATCAGCCTATCAGTTGTGCAGATCTAGAAGCATTGGCAAAACTGACGGATCCTGTTTGAGCGTGTTTTTGACCAAAAAGCATTGTTAAATCTGGGGACCGTTTTTTGTTTACTGCTCTCTATTTCTTTGGAACTGTCATCACGATTCATAGAAGGGCATGAATCGCTCCTAAAGTGGGAGACTTTCTGGGGAGAAGGGCAGGAGAAAGAAGATGGTCATCTGCAGTGAGTGTCAGTCTAATGCTATGGAAAAATCAAAGAAGAGGGAGGTGGAGTCTCGGTTTTGACGTGGGGCTGAAATAAAGCCACCATATCCAAATGTCACACTTTTGCAAGATTGACCCAGTAGAAGGCCACAGTGGAAGGCAGCCTGGAGAAGGTGTGGGCTGCCAGCAGGACAGGACCTTTGGAGAGCAATCACAGATGGTATCCTCCGTGAATTCAGATAACAAAGAGAAGGGAAATGGGAGTTAGGGAGATAAGGGGGAAGCCTTGACTTAACTTGGGAAGACTAAAATGAGAAGCAGAGGGAATTAAGAGCTTCATTCAAAAGTCTACATTCTGAATAGAAATAAACATGTCCTTTTCATAAAAATAAAGTGTGGGGAAAAATATCACACTTTATTAAAAACGAAACAAAAAGGACAATCTAGGGTCTTCTATTTCCCTCGACAACTCAAAGCAAACTAATTAATCAGGTCTTTTAAGTTGTCAGCATTGTAGGCCAGAAGGACCGAATGTAGATGCCTACACCTGAACCAGCTGGTAAGGCATTTTTAAAGTATTTTTCACCTAACATATTACAGATTAATTGTTTAGGATGAGATAATCAGTGTTTTGAAAATAAACATCTCTCCCACTGAATGTAAAGGGAAGAGAGATTATGTCAGATCACGTGTTTTTTTTATTATCTCAATAGGACTGTGACTAGAGCTTCCAGTCAGTCATATAAACAAATACTAAACCAGAAAGTCTGCAGGTTAGCTTAAAGGCAATGTTTCCAGTGAGTCAACAGCACATATTGATGTTGGTGAACATGCATTTATGTGAGTGCACCAAGTAATGCCATCTTCAGACACTGTCATCTTTTGATGGAGAACTCCTCTTAAAAATCAAAACCAAACCCTTAACTTCTGTCAGTACTTGAGCTTTTGAAAATGTAAGTGTTCATATTCAGTCTAATCCAAATATAATATAGATTTACAAGCAAATTGCATATTAATAATGTTTTAAGATTCAGAGGTCTTACATATTGTTAACACAGAGAATTACAAACCCCCTCTCTTTACCCTTTCTAGAATAATAGGTTTAAATTTTAGATTTTTTTACTAATTTTGCAGTAACAAACTTGACAGTTATACATACAGAGGAGCTCTCAGTGTTTGGAAAAAAGCTACAGCTTTGCCTCTGCTGGCTCAAATTAAAAATCAACAAATAAGCCGCTTTGTAGAAGAGATGATTTTACATCATATAATAAGGATTTACCCCTGAGGGGTTACAAAATTAAAAATAAATTAGAGAGAAAATTAAAAGAGGCTTTAGCTGTGCAGTGTCTACCAAAAGTACATATATACATGTGCGAAAACCTTTTCACTTTCACCCACACAGCCACAGAGGTACAATAAAAAAAATCAACAGCCATTAAGACAGCAAATTTCCAATTATTTGTGTAAGGTCTTGGGACACAGGTAGAATAACAGCACTGCTAGACCAGAAAATAAGCATATTGCTTCTCTTTCATCCGCTGCAGTCTCTCCTTTTTAATTCAGATGACAACTTGTTATTTAGATCAAGAACATCAAAGGAGCTGTGCACTCTTTCTGCTTTACAGCACAGAGCTCAGCAGAAGAGATGTAAATGTGTGCAGGAGACTTGCAAGGGGGCAGGCAGCGCAGAGGGAGGGCTGCCCAGCACACTGGTCCTCCCGTGTCTCTAACAGGAGCATCAGGGTCACGTGCTAAATGGTGACGGGGTAAAAGTCTCCCAAAGGATGAAGGTTAAACCAGAATTTACTTATTATCACTTTATCACTTTCTTTGAAAGAGAATCTCAGTTACAAAGCGCAATTACAGGATAATTGTTTCTTTCCCATTTTCACACATAGCAAGTCTTGCAGATACA